GGGGTCCTGGGTTCAATCCCCAGTACAGGCTCATAAACAAATAAATAAATAAAACTACCTCCCCTCCCCCCCAAAAAACTGAAAAAAATTAAAATTTAAAATTAAAGAAAAATAAAGAAATTTTGGATAAATTACTTCCCCAAAGCAAGTACAGGCATACCTCGGAGATACTGCAGGTTGGGTTCCAGACCACTGCAATAAAGTAAATACTGCAATAAAGTAAGCCTCACCAATTTTTCAGTTTCCCAGTACCTATAAAAGTTATGTTTACACCATACTGTAGTCTATTAAGTATGCAATAGCACTATGTCTAAAAAAAATACATACTTTAATTTAAAAATACTTTATTGCTAAAAAGTGCTGAAACAATTCCAGTAGTAACATCAAAGATCACTGATCACAGAACACCGTAACAAATACAATAATATTGCCAAAGCTTGAAATATTTTGAGAATTATCAAAGTGTGACAGAGAAACCAAGTGAGCAAATGCTGCTTAAAAAATTGGCACTGATAAACTTCCTCCGTGTAAGGTTGCTACAAACCTTCAATTTGTAAAAAATGCCGTACCTGCAAAGTGCAATTAAACAAAGTATGTCTGTGAGTGATTAAAAAAAAAGAGGGACACAGCCATGGATCTGGGTTTGCCACTGACTAGTACCTACCTCACAAAGTTTTTGCAAGGGTTATAGTAGACAATGTATGGTGATAGCTCTTATAAAAATGGAATGTGATCTTAGCTCCAATATCTCTTCCTCAGGAAGGCCTTCTTTGACGGCCTATTCCAGATCAAGTTCCTATTATATGCTCCCAAACAACCCCTACTTCCCTTCCCAGCTGTATTATTATTACAGTAATGTATGTGATTATTTGATTATTGTCATATCTCTTTAGATTGGGAGCTCTATCCTAATTGCTGTCTACTTTGTCTCCACAGAACCTCCTGCACAGAATACAGTGCTTGTCACATATAAGCTCTTCAATTTTGTTAGATACATCAGTGTGAGAACTGAAATCCAAATATTCTAATTCACTCTAGATTTGACTCAGGCTGGTAAAAAAAAAAAAATTACAGTGATGCCAGAAGACAGAATGAGGTCACGTGGATGTTACTCAACTGAGATAAAAGTTAGAAATAAATTTAAAAGGACTAGAGACCAGTGCGGGGTGATCCGGAAGAGAGAGGGGGAGACCGTTTAAAACAGTTTAGTCTGGGAGGACGCGACTTCCACCCAGGTTGTAAGGACCAATGAACATGCAAACGCTGAACAACCGTCCTCGCCCAAAAAAACCCGGTAAGCAGTTTTGTCCGTCTATTCCGTACGACAAGCCAAGATGGCGGGGCCCCTGATTGAAAATTACATTCAAGATGGCAGCTTCCGGCTTCCCCCGCAGCGTCGCGCGTGGCCCTAAAGGCCACGCCCACTTCCGGCTTCTCCGCCTCAGCATGGAAGCTTTGGGTCTATTGCTCTCCGGTAAGTGGGTGTAGGGTCGGCGTAGGGAGCTCGTGGGGGGCTCGCCCGGGACCCCTGAGCTGGCGGCACGGCCACTTTCCCAACTCTGCCCTGTTTTCGCAGCAGGAGTTCGGAGGCTGCATTGCGGCGCCGCGGCTCGGGCTGGCGGCCAGTGGCGACTCCAGTGAGTGCCGGTCTGGGGGGATTTGGGTGGTCAGAAGCTGGGCTGAATCCTCACCAGACTTTTTCTCCGTCCAGGCAGGGCCTTGCCGCCAACCCCTCCGGCTACGGGCCCCTTACGGAACTCCCAGACTGGTCTTACGCGGGTGAGCGCTGATCTGACAGTTAACTTCGGAGATTTTCACCTAGAGGGAACGCCCCTGGACGGAGTAGGGGGATGGTGTCATGGTGGGGGTGTGTCTGAGTGGACAACGTGTTGAACTGTATATTTGGAGTTGGGAGGAAGAAATCCTGTTGTTTATTTTGTAAATTAAACTACGCCTATGGAAAGTAAAGCTAGACAGGATCTTCTTGGCTTGTGGGGATACGCAGAAGATAATCCTCATTTGGGGTGTCCTGGGAGGGACAAGACTTTACGTTTCTCGAAGAGAGACGTTGGGGTTTTTTTAAGTTAGGGAGAACCACCCTACTTTATGGTAAGTAAGTACATCGTTGAGATTTTGTTGCTAAGCGCAGGGAGAGCTCTTCGAAAGGCTGCCTAAATGAGCGTCTCAGAGAGAGGCATAGAAGAGTGAGTACTGAGGATGGCGGCCTCCCTTCAGAAAAGTCTCTTCCTCTAACTTTAAAAAAAAAGAAAAAAGGGGGAAAAAAACAGAAAATGTTCCCCCTAGAAAGGAAAGATATTAGAAAACTTGAAGCCACGCCTCACAACAATGGGACTCGGGTTCACAGATGGGAAAATTGAGGCCTACAGAAGTGAATTGCCTGGGAGCACACAGCTAGGTAATGGCAAAGCCAAGACTAGAATTGAGCAGAGTCCAAGCCACCCTCAACAACACAGAGACCTGAATGTTGGATTCTTTCTTTGCCGGGGTGGGGTGGGGGGTGCGTTACATTATTTATTTGTTTGTTTGTTTATTTATTTAATGGAGATACTGGGGATTGAACCCAGGACCTCATACATGCTAGGCGTGCACTCTGCCATTGATCTATACCTCCCCCAGTATTAGATTCTATGAGTATGACCCTGCTTAATCAGATACTTGGTGGCTGAGGAGGATGGTGAAGATTTTTTTCTACTTGTTACTTCCTGTAGGAAGCCTTGATTCTCCTTGAAGTAGTACAGAAATAGTGGAAAGACTCTGGAATTGATTCTTAATCTAGGCTTCCCTACTTGCTAACTTTGTGGTCTTGGACAAGTTCCTTAATTGTATCTCTTAGTTTCCACATTTGTAAAAGAACAATACCTATCTTGTTTGGTTCTTGTAAGGATAAAATGAAATGACCAGTGTAAAGCCCCTGATACACACAGTATTGGTTCCCTTTCCTGATAAGTAATCTTATTTTGTCTTGCTTTCAAAATTTGGGGCAGAGTTTTCCCTCTTTTTTTTGTTTTTTTGTTTTTTTGGGGTTTTTTTCTTTCTTTGTAGAAAGTAAGTGTTCTTTTTGTCTCCATTATAAACTACTTTAGGTCAGGTACTGCATCTTTTCAGCGAGTCAGCAGATATTTATTGAATTTTTGTTATGTGTCTACACTGCACAACAGTGAAAGCAAGGGATACAGTCCCTGATCCCAAAGAACTTAAAGTCTAGCTGGAAAAACAAAGCATGGACATTTTTAAAAATAAAATAATAATTCAGTGCTCTGCCCCTTTCCAGAAGGATTTGAGGTGGCTAAATATGGCTAAAAACAACCAACAGTACAATAAATGTCCCAAAGCAAATAGACGAATAGTAAATGATGGATATGTGTTTCTTTCAGAAAAGAGAACTGACAGTTAAGAGGTTAGAGAAGAATTTCTGGGACAGGCCTTGAGGTGGGCCTAAGGATGAGAATTTGGCTGGAAGGAAAGGAAAAGAGGGTGTTTCATTATGGAGTGAGATGGAATTTAGCAAGGGCTTACTGGTGAGCAGAACAGTAATCAGATTGCTTGAGTGGAGGGTTTCTGAAGATAATACAGGCGATTCAGCATTGCAAAGGACCTGGAATTCCGGGCTAATGAGGGACAAGTAAAATAGAGTAGGAACATACCTAGGGGCTTATTCTTGGTGGTTCTGGCATACCTCACCTTTGAAGATGAGGGAAGTATTCTAAATTAAGCTACAGTAAGTGTGAAATGGAAGCCGCTTTCCCAGGACACTGCAGGCCCTCTCTAACACTTGCCTTTTCTCTCATTTCTATGTGCAGATGGCCGCCCCGCTCCTCCAATGAAAGGCCAGCTTCGAAGGAAAGCCCAAAGGGAAAAGTTTGCAGTGAGTGGCTAGAGCCTCACCCAGGGCAACCTGTGTATAATTAGGGGGAGAAAATTAAATCGTAATTTGTCTTGAGCTATGTTGGCACCTGAACTAATGCATACCCCTCGCTCCCAGGCAAAGGTTTTAACAGTCCTGTGAGAAGGGAGGATAGAGCGTGGCACTCCTAGGGCAGGAACCAGGAGTAGACACACATTTTGCTGCCTTCCTCCCGCTTCCTAGCCCCGGACCTGGTCCCACCCCTTCCCCAGTCAACAGTGTCATTTTCCAGCTGAAACCTCTGGCTTTGATCTGTGAATGAAAGGATATATGGTGCAGCGCCCAAGCCCCAGATGTTATCCACACTGTTTTCCTGTCTGTTTCAGAGACGAGTTGTACTGCTGTCACAGGAAATGGATGCTGGATTACAGGCATGGCAGCGCAGGCAGCAGGAGAAGTTGCAGGAAGAAGAAAGGAAGCAGAAGAATGCTCTTAAACCGAAAGGGGCTCTACTGCAGAAGCCACAACCAAGTCAGTAAAAAGCAGCTCTTGTCTCCCTTCTGCAGCTTCTCTCTGGCTTTCTTTTCTATCACCTAGATGCATCATCCCAGCCAGAAGAAAGCCTTAATGTGCCCCATCTGTCTTCAGAGCAAAAAGGATGGACACCGGGAAGAACAGCCTGTAAGATCACTGCCTGGAAGGGTTGGCTCAGTGCTCTCACCCCTGGCTCTATTCCAGTTCAGCGAAATCTTGCTCTGGGATATTTATCCCCTCTTTTGTAGGCCATAGGACTGGCCCAGCTATGAGCAGGAGCTGCTCTGCGAACATGAAAAGGGGGCAACAGGTTTCCTGGTTTTAGCCAGGCACCCAAGCCTTTAACAGCCCATGCACAGCTCAGGCCACATGCAGCTATGTATTTAATAAATGTTTTGATGAAAAAGCTTTTCCAACTGAGATCCACTTCTTGGCAAGCAACTGATACCAGTTTTCCTAAACTTCCCATATGTGGCCCAGGAGGATACCCCCACTGGGAAGGCTAACATGAGAAGAACCAGACTTGGGTGTTGCATGTTCTGCTACAGAGTTGGATCCTGCGGTTTCTGTGGTTCTGACTGAATTCCAGAGGTTGGTTGGAGAGAGGCCTGCACTTCCCGACCCCCATTTGTGTAGGGGAGCCCTGAGGTGCTCAGCCCCCAAACAGTCACTGTGGAAGAGTTATCTAATAGCCACCATATACCTCCCACAAACCCGATAGCCGCACAGGCCCTGGGGAAATCTTCCATTTTATTGATCATGGCTCCTCCCATGGATTCTAGTGGGGGGAAAGGACCTTTGCTCCCATTACAATACAGAGCAACAGACTTTTCTTGCATTCTTCTGCCACAGATAAGTGATAGTTCCTAGATCTCTAGGATTTCTGTAACTTTCTGCCTCACCTAATTTCTGTCCAGCCTCCTTTATTCCTTCCCTTGTTTCTTTCCCTCCCTTCTTCCCCCCACTACCGCCTTCCTCTCTCGCTGACCAGTGCAATTCTTGGATCTTAGATTTCGCTGATGGTCGAGTTTTCTGTCTCCCACACTTTTCCTGCTTCTGTTGTGTTGCTTTTCCAGATCTAGCCCTCAGCCTCTTATCTGTCTCCCTTTCCCACTGCCATGCCAGCTCTAGCCTGCCCTCCCCCTTCCCTGCATACCTCCACCTTTTGTTCTCAGAGTCTAGTCAGTCCCTGAAGGAGGAGATTATACTCTTTAAGAGATTGCCTCCTTTTCCGGTGTTGAGGGGAACTAAGCTCCACAGTCCTAACTCCCATTCTCTGTTTTTTTAGCAATTTCACCAAACTTGATTTGCCTTTTGCCAGATTCCATGGCTTCACACTCCGTTCCTCCCCAGGGAGTTCTAGTTTAAGGAGCAGCAGATTGTAAGTGACAACAATAAAGGGAGCACATTTGTATTTCTCCAAGAACAGGAGTCCCAGATCCAGTGTGGTGGTGGGATTTGTCGGTGGGTGGTTGGGTTTTGTTACTGTTACACTTCTTTGGCGGGAGAGAGACAGAGGTGATTGTCAAGAATAGGGGCCAAAAATTTCAATATGGTTGAGCCGCAGGTCCCAGCAGATGACCCCTCAAAGCGGGTTTCTAGACAGGGAAGAGCCCCCACCACCATCCCAGACTCTGAGCTCCTTATTTGCACCAGCCACTGAACCTCACAGTACTTCCCACGGAGGTGAGACAAACGCTGAATCCCAGAGGAATTAAGCCACTCAAAATATGCTTAGTGGGAGAAAGTCTCCCACATCCCGTCCCCTGAGTCCCCCCACAGCCCCCCGCTCTCAGCTGTGGCCTCAACCCTGCAGATGGCAGCCTCCACCACAGAAAGGCAACTTAGGTTTTTTTTTTTTTTCCCCCGGCTCTTGGCTGTAATTGGATTCAGAAACAACCACGTCCGCACCGGGAAAGGAGGGCATTGGGGCGGGGGCGGAGGGAGGCTGTGGGAGAAGGGAGGGACCAGAAAGAGAGCGAGAGGGCTCGCGATGCAGTTCGCCGACTAAGCAGAAGAAAGATCAAAAAACGGAAAAGAGGGTACGAGCAAACAGGCGCTTTCGAGAACAACCCCTTCATCTCCAAGCTGACAGCGCTCTAGGAATCCAAAT